ATGACAACTGTCCACAGGGCTGACTCACTCATCATTGTGTTCATAAGTATATTACACCAAAACTCATTAATTTTTTATTCATTTTGTTATACACAAGTAATTCACTCATACTCTTTGATATAATACACAATTATGTATTATGTATTTGGTGATTTATTCAAATGATTATAATTGTAAACTAATTCCAAAGCTATATTTCATATGTAAATATTTCTATAAATTCATACTGTATGAAGATTTTTAAAATCCTTTAAAATTTCTACAATTCAATTTCACCAATTAAGGAATGTGGTATTCTATGGTTTATCTGTAATACCGTAAGTATAATAAAATGTTTAACAATTAAAAAATGTATAGACTATATTCTATAAGTCAGATTTCTGTAGTTATAAACTAATTAACAAAATTTGTTATTTAATTTTATTTTATCTTATTTAATAAGAATATTTTAAATATCCAACATTTGTACCATAATAATTAAAATTAGATTATTTTGCTTACAACATTCTGTACAAGTATTTTAAAATATTATTTTATATCTTGTAATTTATTTGTTTATAAGTAAGCTGACTATTGAGTATAAACGTTTACAACTTAAACTATGGGCGTATGAAATAAAACATGATTTAGTTTATTAAACAAAATCAATATTTTCTATTAAAAATTAATGTAACTTTTTAAACTATTATACAATATTCTACTTATACCGGACTATTGAAATTCATTAATACTTAATTTATATTCATTTGTAATGTATTAAGTTTATATACAGTAAACCATTGTATGTTGCATTGACTGTCATGTTGTCAAATGTGCATAATTAATAAGATTAAGAGTACAATAATCTGATTATTTGATATAGAATTATTTAATCTTAAGGAATTGTCGTGGGATCTCAATCTTATATAATACTATAATACTGAATAGTATTATGTATTAAAGTTTAAACCAATTATTTTAAATTTTGTCTTATAAATTAATGAGTTTATACTCGATTTATTAGAGGTTGTATTGTCAATTACATGTATACGCAATAATAAATGTTGACATCGATAATATACTTAATGGGCAATTTTATGATGATATAAAGCAATAATTGTGTAATATTTGACTTGACAAACGGAAATTAAAAGCAAAATCAAAATAAAGATAACATAAAAAATGAGAGAAGATTAGAGAAACATGAATTTGCATTTACTGTAAGTTTTGGCATTTAAATCTAGATTTATGAGACCAAAACTGATTGCGTGTAAAAGTGATAGTGAATTGAGTGACAAATTTGATTGCATTAATTGAAAGCGATTTCTATATTCGTATGAATGACTTAAAAGTTGCTTTTCATTAAAAAAAATGGTGAGAAAGTGTTTGATATGATATAAATGGATGAATTGAATGCTCGCTTATATGGTTTGTGGTGTTTGAATGTTATGTTACCGAACCTGTTGTAGAAATGGTAGGAAACTCAATGGCAGATCGAAAAGCAGGTGAGAGCGCAAGGAATGGCGGGTGATTGCAATCCCGGCGCAACATATTGCATAAAACCAGTGGAACTCCGCCATCCAGTTCTGTAAAGTAATTTACTACCATGGTTAGTTCATTATGGTCACTTGCAATCCACGTTTTGCATAACGGTTCCCAAAACACATGTTCGTGTCGTTTGCTTTTTAATGAGTTTCTAATTGTCTTTTAACACTTTTAGTAAACATTTTTCAATATTTAATAAATTAAACTCAAAATTTAGTGATTCAACATTTTAAAAATTATATTTATCATAATACTATATTTTTTGGCTTTTAGCTTAATAATATTAACTATTAATTTAATAAATCATTTTATAACATCACATGAATTAATGGATCATAAGAAATAAACCTTTAAGAAGTATTAATAGTTTAAGAAATATAATTTAAAAATAGGATTAACTTTAAACATTAAAGGGTCTAGTAGGGTTGGTTTGATCAGTTGTAAATATGATCATACACTTGACCATACATTGGTTTCGTATTAAAAGACAATTTCAACAATTATCAAAGATGTTTGAATAAATACTATTGTCTTGATTATCATCATCATTATTATTTATGACCCTTTATATGGCAAAGTGTATCCATCCGAGCCATATGTATAATATCATATTATTATAAAAATTAAAATACATTGTAAATACACTATTGTTGAACTAATAAAACAATGTCTTCAACACTAGAAGTTAAAGATTGGTAAATATTTAATTAATGTAATATTTTTATTTTAAAAATATGTATCATATGCTGGTAGAAATGATATATAAATGGTTAAAGGGAGCATTCACCAGTTTTCATTAATTATTCACGTATTGATTAAATTTGTTCTTAATTCTTAAGACACATAAAAACATTTGATATCATATGTCAACCTTTTGGGTGCTATTTTTCTATGTATAGTATATTTGAGTTTCGATAAAATGCCTAAAAATGGCCCTAAAAGTAAATTACCCGCGACTTTAATGCATTGGATTCGCTTCATTAGAAATAAAGTATCGTTTTGTTTAACAGTGAAAACATAATTCAAATGTGAATTACTTTTTGTTATTACAGACAACAGATAGAAATTGTTTAAACAAAAAGTGAGAATTTGTCTCAAGTTTATGTCTCATAGTTTTTAGCTATATTAAAATTAGATAATACAAATTTGAGTTAAACAACAAAATTAGCGCATTTGTCGCTAAACTAAAGAGCTTTTACTTTAATTACGATAAAATTACATACATTACAACAAATAAAATAAGAGATTACAACAAATGCTACACTAATGAGTCACTAAAAGGTTGTCATTTCTCTAAAAGTTAGAAAATAATTTTCAAATCATAAGTATTCTAGTTTTATAAGTTAATATATGAAACAAGAATTTTCTAATCAATTATACTGTTGGCAATTATAAGCATTTTGACTGTAAAACTGTAATTAGTGGAGATTAGCTTAAAATAGAAATATTGAATTGAGATGGTATAGCTCTCTAGGTATGGCTACTGTAAGTATAGGTATGTTGTAGGTTATAGTGGAAGTGTAAGTATAAGGTGTGCTTACCGTCCGAATTGCGTTTGGAAGCATCAGAGATATCTTTGGCGACACTGTCTTCGCTGAGACTGCCGGGCATTCGTGAGCCGTCGTCGCGGCTGTGGTGGTCGGGCGCCGACGAAGTGCCGAATCGATTGCGAGTGAGCGGCGAATGAGTGGATTTGTGCCGACGGATCGTTGAGAAACGACTAACAAATGATGTGTTGTGTTTGAAACTAACAATCGGTTTGTGTGAACAGAATTAGTTTATTTCATTATACACTACACTATTGTATGTGTATTTCATTTAATTAAATCATTTGTTTGATTTGTAATAAAAGCTTTTTAATTAAGGTTTAGCTTTTAGATTATGTGTATTGATGGAAGTGTTTTGCATTTAAAAGTTGGTGTAAATGCCCTTTTCGTGATCTATTCTCATGTCAAGCGATTATATGCCGGCGCTTACAATATATTGAAAGTAGCGGTGATTACATCGATAATTATATCAATAAAATAGTCTTAAATGACATTTATATAATGAGTTGACAACAAAAGCTTTTATTTTATTAAAGCCTTAATGCAGTGCTCTTACCAGTGATTTAATGAGTCTTTAATTTTAGTAAGATTTATACGATAATATAAAAATAAACAAGTATATAAATATTCTTTCTGTAAAGAATTCAATACAATTCTGTATAAAAATAGCAGTTATTTAACATTAAACTCCTAATTAAATTGTCCTGGTCAATTCTTATTTAAATAAATATCTAATAAGTGTTGATAGCTATGATAGTATAAGCGAAATTGATTTTATTGGCTAAAAGTTAAAATAATTGTTAAGTCAGATGTGATTGCGGTATAAAGTGGGGGATGGGTATGAAATGTGAAGGAGAGTGTACTTACATATTGCTAACACCAATACTTTGTGGCAAATCCAGTCTATCTTTACGTTTTAATGTTTGTGTAAAAGAACCTGAAGTATAGCTGCAGTGATGACGAACACCAAAAGCAATTGAATGAATGGTTTGATAGCACATGAAACGTGTGGCAAATTGTATTTATCGGTGCAAACGATTTTTGAGTGCATTTTTGAACAGTGAATATATGGCACACAATGAATGGTATGGTGGGACACAAACGGATAGATCACAGATTGATAGGAGAGAAGAGAAGCAGAGATTAAATATTGATATTTTAAGTGTTGAGTGCTTTCACATGCAATCGCACGCATCCATTCATTTGATGATTGTTTGCGTGCTTTTAATTATATAATAGTTATCGTCAATGCAATCAAAAGCATCTCATTTTTGTGAACAAATGAACACTCAGTTGTTATATTTGGTAATAACAATGATTATAATGATTGCGATGATGAATAATTGAGAGGCAATTATGTGATGTATGTTTGTATGTATAATCAAGTGAGACATACGCGGGTGGGCTGGGAAGAGGCACCTGATGTATCTTCCAGGTCGCCACTGACATGGAGTTCTCGTCGGCCGCATAACAGCGCCACAGACTTTGGATGAGAGTGGCGGCCGGCACTCGACGCCTAATCATGTGTTTCTGGCGCTGTTGCTGTTGCACCTTCAGGGCAAACCCAGAACCCAGAATACCCTACAAATACAATCACCAATGCATTCAGTCATCTAAACATCCATATCATATCATCTAATTATTTCACCAACATTACCAACATTTGCTATCATTTGCCGACATTTACCAATTTAATTTATTCAAGTCATTATAAGTTAATATGTCTAATAATAAATTAGAAATATAAGTTTTAATTATAATTTTTATCTTCACTCATTTAATATTAAAATTTTTGAGATTATCCCATTATAATGTATTTTAATTTAAATGAAATTAAACTTTTAAATTAATAATAAATAAATATAATTTATTCATGTGACATATTATAAATAATAATTAAAAGTTTAAATGAGTTTTATATAAAATATAATTAGTATTAATGCTAACTCTCAATATGTTTTGCAGTACTAACTTTATTAAATTCTTAATTTTGTAAGCAATCTAACAATTTTGTAAGCTATATTTAGTGAAAACTGATCTATTTCTAAAGAAAATTAAAATCAATTAGAGAAAAAGTAGTAAATGTGTGCAATTTTATCGATATTTAAGAAGAAACTGATGAAACTTGGAATAAATGGTAATTGATATAAATGGTAATAAGTTAGGCGTTTGTGTAATATAAGGGTCGACTCACCGCTGGTAAGGCAAAGAATGAGATCCCTAACAGAGCACAGAAGGCGGCGATTATCTTCCCCGTCCACTGATATACAACACAAATATATACATAGCAATGCATTCAATTAATCACTCAATCTATTGGCTTAATACTTACAGTACTCGGGAATATATCTCCATATCCAACGGTGCACAAAGTGATCTGTTAATTGATCAATTTCATCATAAGATCTTTTTATTGTTTATTGTTACACTAATATTTTTTTTGGTCAAAATTATATCTTATGCTTCAAATAATTTATATAATATCATTGTTTTATATGAATATTTGAGTTTATGAAACATAAAATAGGGTTTTATATTTTTAAAATAGTTGTACACCAAACAAAAACAGTCATTTAGGTATAATTCATATAATCTTTTAAATTGAGATTTTTAATATAATTATGTTCATCTAAAAATGTTTTAAAACTTAATCAATATGTATAAATATAACTATTGTCTTTTTTATGTTGAATTATATTTTTTTAAACTAAAATCTGTTTGCTAATTAACTTTGCAAATGTTTCAAGTTTTATCAACATTACTGAAATGCTATACTGTTATACTAGTATACTTAAATACTGTATATAAAATCCTAACAAACTACCAGATTTTAATTCCCAGATTCTTAAATCTCAGTCTTTTTGTATAAAATTATTATGAGATAAATCAGAACAAAGAGAGAGAGAGAGAGAGTGAGATTTGTTAGAAAGAGAATGACTAGAAAGTAAGCAGAGTATTTGAATATTTATATTAGATTAAACAGATTTTCACAATTGAAAACGTCTGTTTCCATTATAACTCAATTCTAATATAATATTAAATAGTTTTTCTCTATTTTAATACTTTATAACAGATTTATAAAGTATTGTGTGAGATATATATGACAAGAGGTGTAACCCTTAAGGAATTTATTTGTCGTGTATTCTGTATGCGCTCTGAAATATTAATATCATTTGAATGAAATGGATTTGTGATGAATAAAACTAGTGTTAAATAATTGAATTGCTTTTTAAATGAGAGTTTTTGTGTAGGTTTTCATTATTTTATTCAGTGAATATTTTGGTTAAGAAATTTTATTTAACAATAAAGCACTGACTACTTATGTAATACTGTATAACATAGACTGATTAGCAAATTAATCATTATAATCAATATGTGATGCCGTATCGGCCGACACATACCACTCCCCACCAGAGAGCGTCGGCAAAGCTCTCGAACTTAGTCTCCTCGACATCCTTCTCGACCAGATATACCAGAAATGATGAGAAAATCAACCCAAGGAAGCCTATGTATACTGTAGTTATCAGTTCCTGAAACACATCACCCAATGTTAGCTGTGGACAGTCACTCCATTCCTCTTACCTGTCGGTGTGCATAGACAACAGAACCTGAAAACCAGTTAACATTTATTTTTCATTGTTTTTAATGTAAACGCAATTAATGATCATTTAATTGAATAATGCAATGTATATACCCAACAATTTCCAGGTGCCGCCCCTCCTATCCATACGAACCATACGTAGTATTTGGAAGAATCGCAAACCACGGAGAGCTGAGGCGGCGAATACCTGTCCAGAGCTGCCGACCGATAGCACGATCACCGACGCAACGATTACTATGACATCTTTGCGACAATTCATTCATTGTTATTAATATTTGTTTTGTACTCTATTTGTAATTTTGTTGCTTTTATTAATTCTAGTATTTATTTCCTTTCCTCACAAATAAAGTGATTTAAATAAATAATCGATTAAATAGTTTCACTTTTGTTCATTCAATGGATGATTAAATATGAATGTTTTGAATGACAACAAAATGAGATTAAGAAAGAAAAGTTAAAGAATATGTGTTTGGATGAGATGTTTGTGAGTTTAGGGGTTTGGGCAGAGAATTTGGTGCAAAAGGATGTCTTCATATGTGATATATTGGTAATACGTGTTATACCGATCACACAGAAGGGACTCCTGAGAAACCTAAGGCGTCCGACCCAACCCTGATAACGTGAGCGACACCCGGCTGACCACATCCGGAAGAAGAATTCAAATGCGAACCACACAACCATTACTATCTCCTAAATATGATATCAAATATATTCAATATATTATATTATAGATATAGCGCTAACAGTAGAACATAGGCTATGCACTATAAATTTATGTCTATAATATTTATGGTCTCAAAAATCGCTTTATTATAAGTTAATAATAATGTAAGAAAAAGTGAATAATAAATGTAATAATTGAGTAGTGAATCGATAGTCTTAATGAAATGGTGATACAAACCATTCTTAACAGTATGGCTGAAGCCGTTGTTTCATATTCTTTGATGGTTGAGAAGACTGTGAGAACCAAACAGGCGAAGACCATACAAAACCTGTCAATTATTTTCAAATAATGTAAATCATATTATTTTTAACAAAACAAATGGATTCGACAAATTTTTATGGCTTTCTCCTCAATACACAGTTAAACCTCTTTCAAGACTTTATGTTTGAATTCTACACAAGTCTTAGTTATATATTATTGATATACTGTACATACAATATTATGTACTACAGTATCAGTGGTTAGTAACTTATGCAGTATCTTATATAATTGAGTTTTATATCATATAAAACCCACTTATGCTACAAATTCACAACATTTTGCATATAAAGCTCAAATAATTCAATATTAACTAAATATAACATTGTGCATTAAATAGAGCCTAAAAAATTTAAGTATTATAAAAAGAAAGTTAATTTAAAATAATATATTTCCATTATATTGTAATTAACAATTTCAATTATTTATGACATTCCTCATAGATTTTCAAGCATTAAAAAAATATGTGAAATTAATTTAATTTTATTTAAATTAAATGTACAAAACAAAAAATGCTATCCATATTTAACAATGTTAATTAACATTTTTAAAGAGATTTTATAAAAACTTACTAATAATAATTAAAGTTAAAGTTAAATAATCAATAATTAAAGTTAATAAAAGTAAGATTTTCTATATTCGTCAAAATATACGGTAAGTGTCCAAAGAGAGAGACTGCCTACATAAAGACCTTAAGGACCTAAACAAAGTACTGTAATATTCATTGAGAGTATCAAATAATATACTCTGTATTACAAACACAGCTAATGAAAAAAGTTAATTGTCTGCTCATCAGTCCTTTTATTGAATAACTATCACAACTATTGTCACGTCTCCACCCCTTCATTAACTCAAGAATATGCTCATAGTTTGTTTCACATGGTTTGAGGCAATCATATATTTTTGATTAATAAAATACAGTTAACATGTACTCAACACTAATGCTTTATAATAGAGAATCCATTGGATTCGCAATTAAATTCATAACAAGTTCTACTCATATATTATAAACTATTCATTAAACTCAATGAATAAAACAAGACCAGTTATTTTTGGGTATTATTTTTTATGATTTATTTTTAAAAAGAGCACAATATTATAGATACGATATGATTGACAGATGAGAGGTTTAAAGGACCTGGTCAAAATAACATCCAGATCTTAGAGCCATAAAATATATAAATAGTAGGCACTCATTGACTCTTAACCTTGTCGTAAATACCATTTACGAGTACATACACGACAACCTCAACATTAGCATATCTATTGCATGATATAAATACTATACAATTGTATAATATTAGTAATATTTATATAATATTATTTAGCCACACTTTAAAAGTGTAATACTCTACATATTTTAGTATATTAAATAGGAATATCTATTAATATAAAATAAAATTCATATTAATATTATATGTAGATATTATAATAATTTGTGCCACAAAAGTGTAAACAAATATACATTGCATTATATGTCATATACTGTACAGTACAATATTTAATAAATTATTTATAAAAGCAATATATAATATTAAAGTTGAGAATAAAACATAAACCGTTTGCTAAGTTTGTACTGAATAACTGAATAAAAGGTATTCATTGGTTGTGTATTATTGCTATTTTCAACAGAATATTCCAATATTCTTTGAGACTAACATTGTTTGATACAACAAATTGATTATAATATTATAAAGTATAATAAAATATCTACAGTACAGTATTGCAATGTGTTTTATTAAATGAAACCATGAATTTCATTTATAATATAAAATGTACACTATGTATGTATGTATGGAAATGAAATATACATGAAATATGGTCTACAATTCAATGTCTATTTCATATTTCATTCTCTCATGATATAGTCATTTGTAAATTGAATTTATTTGTTGGCCATCAAGTTTTCAAAATAGTTATCAATTTTTGAACACTTTTAATATAGAGTTCACTTTTTCTCGGTTGAGACTAATTTCATGGATTGCAACCCAAACGACATTCTTATGAATAAATGGCACCAATCATGTCAATCGTGTCAATGATTTGGTCTCACAATGTGTCGCGCATATAGACATACCATTTGAACAGTACAAATAGCACTCAATGTTTACATTAAACTTCATAAAATATGTGCAAATATTCTTTAGAATATTTTCTAAAAATATGAAAATAATTCAATGAAATATAATTCTAAAAGAAATTCCACTAATTTGTCAAAATTGTAGTTTTAATTCAGAAAATGATGATTTGATTTTATTTCCATTTCAAACTTAAGTGCTGTTGAATCAAAAGCGAGTGCTCTTCACTCCACTAATTATATCAATTTAAATGATATTCATTGAAAATGTTTTCCCAGTTGTATTAATTATAATGATAAGTTATATAAAAGTAAAAATGACGAAAATATTGTCTAAATTAGTTTTGCAGCAATAAATTGAAGACAAGTTGCACAAGAAGTGGTGTACAGTAACTGTAATATACAGTACAGTATAGCTGCCAGTAGTGTACTGTACAGTAGTGTGTGCTTAATATGAATACTACTTAATACGGTAATCACTTTATGTTATATGGTTGCTAATTGGGATGAGTTATAAACACATGGTTTAATTGAATGCATTACTCACACAAATAGGTGATAGAGTACAGAGAGGCGACCGTTGGGTCTCTCGAGAAAGTTATTGATAAGGAACTGATATTTCCTACGTTTGGAGTCTCGGGTGGATCGGTGCCGACGATTGAGCGCAACGGGAAGGGGTCGGCCCAACAAACTCATGCGAGGCGTCTCTTCCTCCAAACTACTCGACACTGAATTAGTTTTGATCGATATTTTTGATTGCAAACTAAGCGACACTTGTCTTGCTGTCAACACACGAGGGGTGCCCTCCCGTTGAGCCTCAATATCTCCAGTATCACCACTTGTGCCCTCAGATGGTTGTCCACGAGAGACCTGCGATCTCTGCCACTGTCTATCGCGATGTCGACCCCCACTGGCATCGCATATACTCCTGTGAGCGACCAGTTTGGCTGCTGTGGCCCCACTACCGGTGCTTTCATTTTTGGACTCTGATTTGACGACATGATAGGGACGACCACTTGATATGGTTTGGAACAACCGGTCGGCCATCACATGCTGTCAAAGTGCCAGCAAAACCACTCAAACAAAGACACGATTGGATTCCTTCTTTCATTACAACTTAAGATATTTTTCATATAAACTATTTTTGTTACAATTTATTCAAAAACATTCACACAATTCAAAGTATAAGTTTGATAAAATAGACATGTTTTAATGTTTTGTTAATTACAAGATCATTACAAAAATTCATTTATAATTTCTTGATATATAAACACATATTTAACAAATTTATTTTTTGCAAAACAATCGTTGTTAGCATTCAATCAATTTATTAAAGCATTCATTTTAAGAATAACTTGTGTTTCACTGCATTGTTTGTCGTCTCAATTAACATATAGTAATACAATCACTTGAGTACAGACTGACAGATACTTAAAGAATTGTTAATGAGATTTAACTACAATTTGCAAAACACACAATAAGTCCGTATTCTTCAAGTCATATAAACTCGTGTTTTAGCATTCAATGGGAACATCGACTCAATGAACAGTTTTGTCAGACTTTTCTCTCACACATCAAAGCAAATGATTTGAGAGCAAAGAATTGCGAGACTCTAATACTGACGACTACGCCCTTCTCCTACTCCACAGCCAATTGGCTTAACACTGGAATTCAATTCAAAATATGCTATCGTTTCTAACAATTATAACCAAAAGAATCACAATTTAAGCCAATTTTGCATAATCTAAACTAATTCATTGTCACATATTGTACTCATAAACACATAGAGAACAGTCTCTATACGACATATTTGTGTTCAATAATAAAATTAATTAAATCTTTTCATTAACTTTGAATTCATTAAATATACAATTCATATGAGACCAACTAGCACATTTAAGAATTAACTTTTCTTTATTAAA